TGATTCTACAACGTTTCTTTCAGAATGCAATCGCATGACCAGAACTGGTCTATACCTTTAAGGATTCGGTTAAAAGTGTAGGAAATGTATCGCAGAGCAATTGTCCCTGGAGTACACGTCCAGACAGCAGACCCTTCTAATTATGTAAGTGCAGTGAAAACTGTAAAAGACTTATACCCGAGTCACCCCAGACTGAAAATAAATGAAACGAAATTTCATTATCCTGAAAGGAGAAATATTGGTTAGTGAAGAGTAAGAATAGTTAGTTTCTTTTACAAGTCTTTGCTTTGACGGTATAATTGAAGTATTACAGGGAACAGATGGTTGGGGGAATTGCTTGCCATTGTCAAAAGACTGATTTTTAAAGATTTTTCTGAAAATAAAAATAGAATGACCCAAGACGTTGTTGGTCAAGGTCAAACTTATGATGATGAGGTTGTGTGTATGTGCATTTCATGCATGTTGGGGTTTGTCCTCTCGGAAATCTTTCTCTTCCCGCCCCCCCCCCCCCCCACCAATTTCATTCCCAACATACTGATCCTGATTTTCCTGTAGAGATTCACCACTGGTTAAATTATAAAATAATATGTATCGCTTAACAAGTTTTCTTGAAAGATGGTGTATCCATAAATATAAGATCAAGAAAGGAAATTTTTGTTTGGGGAGGGTGAATAGTTGTCATATAATGTATAATATATAATTATATTTATATGTTTCAAATTAATTTAATTGTATTAATTCTTCAAAAGTTAGGAAGTAAGGTACTTAAGTGGCAAGATAAAATACAATCATGCATATCCCTGCCCCCCCCCCCCACTCCGTGATTGGAGGGATACCATGCGTGCTACCAAATTGTCCGGTAAAGGGGTACTTATCACGCACCAAAGTCCGGCTCATAGTACACAAAAGCCTGTTTTACACACCAGACTCGGGGGGCGTTTTCAAAAAGAGGGAACATGCATATGCGTACCCTAAATGACACTGAGTGGGGGGTCCGGGTGCATATCACATATGGGTGTTGGTAGTGTATGCACTACAAACTTTGTGCATTGGTACTGCTATATTAAAATCATCCTCATACAATACAAGTACAAGAGTTCTGAACTTTGCTTTGGTAAACTGGAACAAACTACTGCATGTCGTAAAGTAATTTTTTTTTTTTTCTATCAATGGTTCCCTGATATGCGGGGAATAACTGAGAGGAGAAATTAAGAGGAGAGGAAAGGTGAGGGAAAGAAAGAAAGAGGAAGAGAAGAGATAGAGAGGGATACAAAGAAGAGAGAATGAGAGTGGAAGATGTAGCAATGTCACATTTGAAAAAATCCTTCATTTATTGAATTGTTCTGTTGGGCTGTTATGAGAATTCTCATTTTCAGTTTACTCTGCTCTTCAAACAGGCCAACAAAACTTGGTACGCTTTCTGTCTGCACACAAAATAAAACTTATCTCTAACATGACAATAGAGGGCACTCTTCCACAATTTTGATCAAACTTTGGTTTGGTTCAACTGTGTTGAAGTCGAAATTGATAGTGTGATCTAAAAAGAAAAGTTCACTTAAATACAACTATTTCTTATCTCTTACAAGAGTTTAAATATCTAATATTTTGTCAAATTCTAGAGAGAAAAAAATTGCATCAAGAACCCTTGAAGCAGAATAAAAAGGAAAGTGTTCTGAATTAACAAACTATCAGAAGATTACTATAATTTTTTTTCATTATCTTTTTTTTTTTCTTTTTTTTTTTGGTGGGGGAGGGGGGGGGGCGTTGGGATCAAGAATCTTCAAATATTTTAATGCTTTCCTATTATAGCAAGTATATCAGTGGGAAAATTCTATCTCCAGATGTCAAGCAAAAGTATAGTATAATTGAGTCTAGTATAATATAGTATAGTAAAAAATTGAATTACAAGGGAAAAAAAACTAACTTATTTTGTAACTGCCCTCAAACGTGAAGTGTATTTTTCTCAAAAGAGCAGCACACTGACACCCAAATAAGGTTTTACCACACAAGAAAAGGGAAACAAATTGATTAATGTACATATAGGGTATAGAAAATCAAATTTCAGAAACTGATACAATTGAATGTACAATCTTTTATTTAATAGAATTTATGCTGAGCACATGATAAAAGCTGACACTCATTAATTCACATTTTGCAATAGCATTAAATTAATTAAAAAGACTTAGAACCCAAACAACCCAAAGAGTATGATGGTTTCTGATAAATGAAGAAAATGCAGAAAATATTTGATTACAGCATGAAAAGCATAAAGTCTTACTTCTGTTATTCAAATAAGCTTTTTGCACTAGAATGAGACTTGGCGAAAATTGCCTTTCCAAATTAAGTTGCTGATGCTATGTTAGGCATTCCATATTAATGAGAAAGATTAGCAGTAAGATGGTACTGCAAGCAATGCCCCTGTGTGTAGATACCTCAAAATTTAAAACTTGCTTACTTGTAATACTAAATAAATGAATATTTAATTGTTATTTATGAGCAATCAAAATCATTGGTAAATAATTTGAGTTAAGCTATGATCACAAATCAGAGCAGCGACCAACCGATCAGTAGCTTGCTCGGTCGCTGCTGGAATTTAGGCATCGCCCAGCGATTGGGTCGGTGCCCGGGGCGGTGACCGCACAGGCACCGAGCATATTTTGGGCGGCGAGTGAAAAGTGAGCAGACGCCGCCCAAATTTTAACTCCACGCTAAAACTTAAGCGGCGACCGAGCGATGCCCTAAAAACGAGCGGTGCCTGGGCGGCCGCCGGGCAGAATTGGTTAAAAACACGCCGCTCGGCCGCCGAGCAGGCTACTTTTGGGTAATGTGACCATATGACCATGTGAGCATAAGAGTAAAAGAATATGCAATAACAATTTTATCTTACATGAGGCATGTGACCAAAGTCTGACAGAGCAAACAAAATTAATTATTTCAAAATATATGCTAAATATGTTAGGTGTTAGGCTAAATGGAACACATTACTGGAACATATATAGCACCATTTACCAAAGGATGGATATCTTATCCATCAAGGGTTTATATATTCTCAAGACTGTCAATTGCACTGAATAGCGACGAGACACCAAATTTCCAATTGGGCCACACAGCACTTTGCACTGCTACCATACAATTAATAAGCCACATTGCAATCTGCATATAGCTCGTTTTCCGTGGCTGACAACCGACATATCCAGGCTTGAAGCGAAAACAATACCAGCCAGGGAATGTTCATATCTTCAATTATAATGCATGCTACCTCCATATCCAAATCATTCATTTGATTTTCATGCGGGTTAAATTGTTAAAAGCCTAAGGTCAACAAACTGTAAAACCAAAAACTTCTGCAAGCTTGAAACTTTCATAAAATTTGCTTTGTATTTAAGTTTCAAGCTGATCAGCGCTAAATTACAACACTGAAATATTGCAGATCACTTAAACTTATTTTGGCTGCGAAAGGCTCGGGCCGCGGAAAATTTCTCATCTTTTAGTATAGAAAATGGAAGCAACCTTGATTCCCCCTCCCCCCTAAAAATACAAACAGTTAAATTCATCAACATATTTCACCCCAACTTTTTAAACATGATTTGACCTTCTCACACAGTTCTTTATGTACCTTGACATATATATGATGGATATGGTTTCTATATAACCAACAGTATCTTAAATATAAGGATAACTACATATATTTTCACATAATATATACATTAAACATTTCTTTACTAGCAAACCAAAAAATGCATTACAGCAGTATGTATGTACATTATACACATGAGTAGCATTTGTTAAATTTGCTCCACAACTATAATTGTTATGTTAGCAGGTAGTTTTAACCCTTCATAAACCTTAAATTCTAGTTCACATATCACATGTAAATGAAAGGCAATTAGGAGAAAGAAAGAGTATATGCAGGTATCATGGGTTCTACCTTTACTTAAAGGTACTATGTCCCATTTGCAGGCCAAAAAATGAAAAGGTTAAATACCAACGGCATTTGAAAGATAATACTAATTCAGAACTTCCCTAAAAAAAAGGGACTTGAAAATGTCTGTAAGTGGGAAAATAATGACTATTAGTTGTCAAATCGACTTAAGAGCTATAGAGCCAGTAAGTAATATTCTGATTTTCAGACCATTGTACCGTTTTATGCTGCGCAAAGATCCAATCAGTTTAATTTTGGCCGTTACAAGAAGTGGGTTAAACATGTAGACAAATGCTCATGTACCCTTTACAGCTCATGTTATGAATGTTATTACCAAAGAAAAAAAAGCCAGTCAGTCACTCAATAGTGTCTGACAGTGAAGTTTAGCAAGTAAACAGGTTTCCTTTCATAATTTGAATATTAGGACACTGCTAACGTTTAAATTTCAGAGATAGGACATACATGACATATTCTTAATTCCTGCAAAGTTCTACAGAATTTGATGTCGACTGCAAAAGGGACATAGTGTCTTTAACCTATTCCCTTTGGGAACTGGTTGGCTCCTGTATTAAGCCTATGGGTATGTCAGAATCCAGTTGTAAATGGGTTAATGTTGTGCATGTCATAAGATACAGATTTGTGAAGTACACTACTAAAATGGTTTCATGCACCATCTGTGAACAAAGCTTATTAAAAGTAACCAGAAAAAAATATGTCAACAAAAAGGTTTTTGATCCTACAAATGAACAATACTTGTATTTCCTTCTGTAAGATATTTGTAAGGTTTCATATGTTCCATGTATGTGGGCAAAATGGAGCTTTGTTATTGCTTTTTCAAATCTCCAATTTGTTGTAAAAAGATTTCACAGTTGTATAGAATTTTTGGGAGCTTGATATTCATGAACTTAAAATTTAAAAAGAAAATTATGAATATTAAATAAATTAATATATATATAAGCTTTTACTCCCAATAAGAATTCTAGAAAGTCATTACTATAGCAATTAATGAAATTCAAATTCACATTACCAATAATATGTATAATCCTTTTCTGAGGGGTGGGGATGGGACAAAATCAACTAATGAAGTATGAAGAATTTTATATCAATAATTTACATGAACAATTCTTGGTTACCCATTCAACTAGATCAACAAAAAATATGTTTACACAAGTGCATCTAATTAACATGAAACAATCAAAGATGTTGTTGACATAACTGTAATATTCCCTCAGCTGAACATAGTGAATTGAAATTTAATACAGTCTTTCACAAGCTAAAAGCTATTATTCAACACTTTGACAGCAAATTTCATAAATGGTTTGAAGACCACCCTGGACTCACCATTAATAATTAACCTTATTCCCCCTATTTGTCTTAATACAACATGATCATATTCTTATAGCTTCAAAGGATGTTTTTCCCCTCTACATTTGAAGACAGATGAATATCTAAACATTAAATAGTACCTTCAGCATTTTAGCCTTTGTGTGGGCATACGGTACCTCATACAATTTTCCAAACTCCATCAACAAAGAAAGCTAAAACCTAGAACAGTAAGACAGAATTACGTAAAAGATTTCTCTTGTGTACAAAATGAAGTTATATAAATCTCTTATAATTATGGTCAAGTCCATGATAACAATTTTTTTCTACACATAAAAAAATGTGCACCAAGTGAATAATACGTTCTTACAAAGAGGCTAAAGCCTCGTTCAGATACGAGGCGGTAATCTGCAGCAGTTTTTTTGTGATGACAAAAGTTTAATACGGTTTATATTTCTGTATCTTATAACACAGAGATAAGGAAATACGCACAGGTCCTTTGTTGCACGCAGTTGCCATTCATTTACATGTTACAGAAAAACTGACAGTTTACTGCTTCGTATCTGAAGAAGCATTTAGAATTATAATTTTTCATGATGAGTTGTTTGAAGGCCAGTTGTGACTTCTGTTGATGAGATGGTTAAACTGTCATTGCGTCTGGATGTGATGATGATTTGCTCTGACATCTTAAATGGATCTGAAGTGCAAAGATGAAAATGAAAAAATATAAATGAGACAAATAGAAAAACTCAAAATGTATCATGTATGTATTGATGATTGATGAGTCAGCTTTCAGTTCTTAAACTACCAGGCATCTGTAAGGTTTACTTCTTAAATGTTGCAGTCAGCCCTTCTCGAAAAGCTCTGAATAGTACATGTTGAACTCTATACCAGTAATTACATACCACTCCTACCAGCCCCCCCCCCCCCAAAAAAAAAAAAAAAAAAACACAACAACAACAGTACCTTGAGTGGAGCAATTATACCCTTGTACAGACATGTCCACAATGGGATACCTAGAAATTCCTCTCTGGCAGACTTCCCAAAGCTAACAAAGTTGTACAAATAGATTATCCATAATGACAAGGAGCATTAGAGTTAAGTTCAAGGCAATGCCAATGGAAAAGCCATATTAAGCTTGCTATATAATTTAAAACTTGTTCTTCATTATCATGTGCTGATGAGGTTAGCTTATGAACAAGGTTCTAGTATTGTTGTAATCCTTCATAACAGGAATACAAATCCTCTCTATTGTTAGCTCCAAAATAAACCTATCAGACCTCTGTATCAAAAGGGGCTCTCCAATGTTCTTGGGAAAGTTCAAGATTAAGATTAAGATTGAGATTACATCCTTTCCCACTGTAATTACCTCTAATGATAATCCTTGTCTCCCTTAATCCTCAAATAATTGTGCAGTACATGTCCAAAGCTCTATTCATACTTAAGGCCATCGTTGGAATACCTACGCTTATTTTCGACCCCTTACTCATTATATAATGATCCTATGGCATTTAATCAGTTGCTGATAATCATTGATTTGTTGAGCACCTGCGCTGTAATTATGTCTTTCAATAAATTCTCTGCAGAATAGCCTAACAACATTATTTCGAAAAAATCTGGAGAAGGTACAGGACTTGTCCTCTTAATATGTAAGAGAGTCTTAGCATAGAGACGAGTTAATTGATTACACTAAGAACTATTGGTGTGTGTGTGTGTGGGGGGGGGGGGGGGAGGGCAGGAGCACATACACATTACTGCACTCACCAGATGATATTGTGTGTTGAATGCTGTAGTTGTGTTCACATCCGATGGTAGACGATATACATGGGCTTGTTCTCATTCTCTCCATTGGGATTCTGAGCCTTATACTTGATATGTAGGTAGATACCTCTCACAAATATCAAGAATCCTACCAAAAAAAAAAAAAAAAGAGACCAAGATTAATAATCAATGCCATTCCATGCAAGCAAACCATTATCCTGATGGAAAACAGGTACAAAGTGTAGTAAGGAGCAAGATAATAACACTAAAAAATAATACATGAGCACTAACAAACAAAACATTGTTTTTTTTTAAATTTCAACCAAATAAGATTTGTAAGTTCCATACAATTACGGTACGATACCAATTAAATCTGGCCAACTGCACATCTTTCAACATCATCTTTCAACAATAACTATTTTTATTGAAAAGTAAAAACTTGAAAAGCAAAGACTCAATGCAGAACCAAACTCTTTTTTAGAACACTTTCAAAATAATATCTAATCATGTCAGGACAGGACAATGATACAGTTAGCTGAAATGACCTGTGGGAAGCAAGATATCTAAAGAAAGTAAATATAGAGTGAAGTATTCATACTGAATGTGACATGGCAAGATATTCCAGGAACAAGTTGCAATTTTTTCAGACACACAAATTAACAAATACAATTTCTATCAAAATTAATGGAACCATATTTTTTACAAGGAAGATATTGAAGGGCCTGATGCGTGACATTTTTTTCTCCCCAAACTTACCGCACAATATCAGGGCAACAAGAAGACAAGCTGCACTTTTCAAATATTCTGAACAACACTCGGCATTCTGAAAAGGATGTAAAAGAAAAAACAGTTGTTTAATAAGTTAGATATTTTACTGCAAATATACTGCTTCAATTCAGTACTTCATGTGTCATCAAAACAGGATTGAATTAAAGACGAGAGTTTGATATCATGTTATAACAATAACAGGATATGAATGACCAGTTGGCCATATAACATTTCAAAATCCTTAAAAACCTAGCACATGTCCTTGATATGTTAAAGTTTCATTGTATTAGAGACAAGAGTATGACATTATGTTAAAAGAAGAACAGGATACTAATGACCAATTAGCCATATAACATTTCATAATCATTACCGGTAATTACATAAAAAAAAACCTAGTACATGTCCTGGACATGCATTTCCAATGAAGTTCCAATGACTCGTAAACCGAGGGTTTTATTTGGAAATGAAAGCAGGATGTCAAAGATATGATCCGAGTCAGATATGTTACACAACCCCTATCTAAAGTTACAGGGTGGGATGAGGGTAGAATGAGGCTTTGTACTTTGTATCAGGGTGTCTAACGGCTATGAGGCTTTGAACACTGCATAAACCTTCAATACCAACCAACAACATATCAGTAGACATTACCTTGTAAAGATTCTGTTTTTTAAAATTACCAAGTCCCCCCCCCCCCTATTAAATCATGATCAAATTAATTAGATAGGTTTTACATCTGAGGCTTCTTCAGATAAGGTGCGGTAAACTGCTGCAAAAACAACAACCCCAAAATGATAAAAAAACATGTACCGTAATTGACCCCGATTAACCGCACCTTTTTAAAGTTTCGATTTATGCCCCTCCACCTGGCGCTATGCCTGGCAATGTCTCCAAGCTTAGTAATCGGTGTATTGACTCACCACTTGGAAACTAGAACAACACTCAAATTTGTCTGTCATCTTGGTTTGAAAGTAATCTTTCTGATAGATTTCAATATGTAGTTTATAATAATAATTCCTCCAATTTTTCTTCTATTACACTGCGTACCACAAGGTTCTATCTTAGGTCCTCTACTGTTTTTTAAGTCGGCCAAAAAAAAAGTCGGCAAAAAAGAGGGGTGCGGTTAATACACGAGGTTGGTTTATACAACATTAATTATGGTAAACGAATGCCATCTGCGTGCAACAAAGGAGTTGTGTGTTATAAGATACATATAGGATACAGCAAAGGCAGCGTATTACACATTACGTCATAACAAAAACGCTGCGGTTTTGCTGTATCATGTCTGAACAAGCATTAATTGGTGTATCCCAGCATATCTCGCCGCTTATGATCAATTACCATTGCAATGATGGACCACTTGACCATGGACGCTCCGAAGCCTGAGAGGGCGCCATAACGTCCTGCCATGCTCATGCTAAGGCAATAGGCAAAGATGAATCCAATCCAGTTGAAGATGAATGCGACTGTGGATTCATATAAGAAATACAAAAAATGGGATTCAAAACCGTTAGAGAGAAAACAAATCCATGAATTATTAAAGAAAAATCTTAACCCCCCAAAAAACAAAGAGTCAAATAAGTCATTAGACCTCAAAATAATCAGACTTAATCGAAATTTGTATTAGACAATATGAAATATTTATGACCTGGGGCTGTCTTCTGAAAATGTTATCTTTTAATCTTAAATGAAAGGAAAAACAAGTTTAATTGTCATGACAATTGAATGGTAGTAAGAAAAACACTAACCATAGGAGCTTGTACAGATGCCTCTTCTATCTTTGCGCAGACATTAACCAATGACTTGTCATTATTTGATTTGTTATGACAAGCAATAATGTTTTAACCCCCATAAACTATACCATTATTTTCAAAATACGTTCCCTGGTAAAATTTTTGTAAAATCATGTCAGACCAGTTAGAAAAAAAAATTGTAAATGCTACTCACTTATAAATGCGAGAGTGAAGATCATATCTGCACCAAGTCTTGAATTAGTTTCAGCTGCCTGGTCCTGTAAAAAATAGGTATCAAAGTTGAGAAACAAAATAATGTTAGATGATTTTAATAGCCTACCTCATTATTTACAATCATTTCATAGCTGACAAGATGATGGGTCATGTAAAAGTATTTTATTTATTTATTTATTGAAATATATTTAATCAGGATAACAAGGATCAGATATACATTGTAGATACAAAATCTGTTTTACATCATGGTCCTGAACAGGATAAAAACACGGAAATATAAATAATGAATATCACCAAAGCTCACAGGCAAAGGTAAGAACAGTATAAAACTAACATATAAGCATAATACGCATTAAAAATAGTAAAAAGCAAAAAAAAACGACAATGAAATAAATGAAATTAACAGCGGAAAAAAATCAAATCACTTTAATAAAAGGCATTAAAAGATCACCCTAAAAAAAAAAAAAAAAAAAAATTGTGCTCTGTACCCCCCCCCCCCCCCCCCCCCCCCCCCCCACCTCTGAGCGACTTTTCGGCCGGCGCGATTTTCAAATTTTCGGGAGCAAAAAAAAAAAAAAAGTTGGGCCCCCTCCCCTAAGAAATCCTGGATCCGCGCCTGCATACATGTAGATATAATGTTAAGTAAAAGGAAGTGGCAAATCATTTCCTGAAAGCAAGAAGGGCATTTACTTTGTATTAGGCCTTTAAAAAAAAAAATTGTTGTCTTGCCCTTTGCGACCGACCCAAAATTCTTGAAATCTATGGTCAGCTTTTTAAAAAGTTTTTTTTGTTTACCGTTATTTAGAGAAAAAACATATTAAAGCATTCAAAACTGAGAAATATCAGCCCAAAGAGGGAGAATTTTTTTTCCTTTCTAACCGACCGACCCATGTTTTGGCACCAAAAGGGCAGTACAACAACTTTCTTTTTTAGTTACAAAACGTACGCCCTTCTGGCTCTCATCAGATAATGTACTGACCGTAAGGAGACCTTGGTCGGTGAGCTTGGATTCACTCTCATTCTCTTCATACTTTGGAGGTGGTTCTGAAGGTACTAGTACTTCATAGGGAGGGGGCTCAAGGGTGGTGGTGGTGCTCTCATTGCCCTTATCTGAAGAAGAAAAAAAGGCGTAGAATCAGTGGAGATTAAGTAATTGTCAACTTCAAGAAAGAAGGAGAATTAAAAAAAAAAAACATTGTATAACATTGGTTCAAGCACTCAAATATTAGTGGTGGTTATGGTACATATTACATATATATATATATATATATTATTATTTTTTTTTTGGGGGGGGGGGGGTGAGTGGGTGGTTTGTTGATAAGTTTTTTATGGCAATCGGTCAATCTTGACTATTATCACCGACAATTTTTTTGTTTTAAAATTTATTCTACGTACTTGTAATAATAAGCTGTCTTCTCTCTTGGTGGTTGGTGATGGGTTCTTTAAACAAATTTGAGACATACATCTACCACTATGTGTAAAATACCTGCATTTAGTAACACAATACTTACAATCAGTTTCTGTCCTTTAGTATTAAGATTTCGAAAGCTCATTGGCCAGTACAAACAAATTTAAAAACCAATAGAGAATATGTATTCTACAACAAAAAATGACTGTACTCTTTTAAAATACTTAAAAACAAAAATGACTGTACTCTTTTTAAATATATCAAAACAAAAATGACTGTACTCTTTTAAAATATATTAAAGTACATTTTAAGTACAGTTCTTTTTTCAATAATTCTAACCAGACATACTTTGTTCATTTTCTTGGTTCTGATCCTCTGGCTCTGATGGTAAAACTAGGGTGAGGGTCACTTGCTGGGGTCGGCTATCACGCTCTGTCCTGCAGATCTGGTCAGTATCAAAATAAATTGTACACAGTGAAACTTTGGCCAACATAAATATAGAGGTTCTAAAACATTGGACATTTCATCTAACAAAGGCACAGGGGAAACAAATATGTTTTTCATTTCAGTTGCGTGGTCATTTTTGTGACAATGCTGAATGCTGGTTCACATGAGACTGCATACCGTACTGATGCGGGCGCGCGAGCTTGCGTGAAGTCAATTACAGTCGATAACTTCATGCGCGCTGTCAGTACAGTACACGTATATGGCATGCAATTGTGCAGCGGTTTGCCGCAAATATTATGTCTTCGTTTTTAGGAAAAATATTCAAAAAAAGATAAGAAAATTGACACGAAAAGGGAAAGAAATGTAACGACTTTAGAGTAAAGGAGCCGGTAATCGGCCAGCTCCAGTTTTCGGCCGATTGGTTGGATGCAAGGTAAATTCATTCTAAAATACATCGCATAATAGCATAACACATATCCCACACATACCATACCATGCCAGTGTCACTGAAGAACCACATTTGCAATGAAAAATATATCCTAAAATATCACATTTTAGCGATGTAATCGGCGGTCCCGCTACCCGAATCTGAAAAATCGAGTATCTTACGCGTGTCTGTAAGAAATATGGGTACCATAAAATGAGCTTTATTTCAAGTATTTTTCAGATTTAGAGCCCGATTTTGTGCTAGTCGCAAGCTCAAAAGTATCTCATCGCATGTATTAAATCAATGCAGCCGCACACCGCAACGCACACACGATATCTCTGTCTAATTCAGATTCCAATATCCGATCACCACAGTACTAGTTTTCGGCCTGGCGAGCTCCGGGGAGCTCCGGCGTGGGATATCTGCTCCGCCCGCTTGTGCTATAGATCAGCGCGGAAACGCGCGTGCGCGCGCTTCCTATTGACTTTGTACATGCGGCCGAAAACTGGTACGCTATGCCGAAAACTGACTTCGAAACAGTGAAAATTGAAATGAATATTGTCATGGCAATTCGTGATTTTTTTCTGGGATTCTTGTTTTGTTTAAATAATAATATTTGCTTCATGATTTGAACAAAAAATGATAATAAATAGGAAGTAAAGGGTCCTAAAAATAGGATTTTGTCTTAAGTGGCCGAAAACGGGCTCCTTTACTCTATATCATGACCATTATTTGAACAATTGATGAAGATTTAGTTGATTTTTGGTATGTTTTTATCTCCAGGCCTGAGTAAAGGGTCAAAAATGGAAACGCAAGTAGGCCTAGATCTACACTAGAAATTAGAATCTAGAGGTCTAGTCATTTCTCCAAAGTTGCAAATCTCAGAGCTACGACCGAAACAACATTTAAATCGCTGTTTTGATCAATATATTTTTATAATTCTGAGATGACGCCCCTTTAGGACTATGAAGAAAAACCTGCATTTTCATATGACACCCAATTCATTGAGTATCACTTCAGGATCACAAGCAATAAAGGTTTGAATTTCAATTTGGTAATAAAAACATTGACCAATTTTGAAAGATCGCGCAATGCACGTAATAGAATGCACAGAGCTATGCGTGCAATCTCTATGGAAAGAATTTTTAGCAACACAAAATCGAGTGCGCTATCAGATTCAGACAGACACCCTACACTACAATTGAATTACAGTAGTAATGTGAAATAAATCCATACTTACTTCATCATATGATGGTGGATTGTCCATGATTGATATACAGAAATTAGAATGGTTCTCTCAAAAAGAGAGTTCTCAAAAGTGTAAACAAACGTCTGTCCTCACTCAATGACTATGAGGCATCTGCTTTGTGTATATTATGGGTACATCGGATCGGGCTCGCTGAAGTACGCAACTCATTTCTGATGAGCAGGTTGATATCGAAACGTAATGCGTTGCCAATCTAAGGACATAATTAAGGTTATCGTCTCCCCTTGATCAGCAACGAGGAATTGTGACTTACTGGCAGGGATTCAAGCGACAAAAATCTCTAAAAAATAAAAAAAAAGTGTCGTGTTTTTAAAGAGAATTATTTTTGACTGATATTATATTTTCTCTTCTGCATGGAACGCTTGTTATTGAACAGGCATTCATAATTATTCACTTTAATTAAATAATTTTCGTCATGCGCATAACTTCAGTGACCTCCAAACGGATTAGAAAGAAATTAGCCATAAAGCTTCGAGAAGGATGGGGGGGGGGGGGGGGGGGGGGGTTGTGACACTCCATCCAAAAATTGTCTTGTTCGCAATTTCTTATTGATACATTAGACAAATGAATTTAATTTTCTATATTTCTTATTGATACATTAGACAAATGAATTTAATTTTCTATGTTTCTTGGAATTTTGGAACCTCTTTTGAACGACCGGTGTTTACCATGAAATCTAAATTTGGCCAATTTGGGGGGTAAGGAGTACTTATTTTTATTTGTTTATTTTTTATAAATTGAGGGGGGGGGGTTAACCCCCAAAACGCCCCCTGCGTACGCGCCTGACTTCTTACATGATGCAGTATTATATTACTTATTACCTTGACGTGGAAGGGGACAATAGTGATCCATGATCTAAGCTACATACAGACAACCAGGCGCCCCCCCCCCATGACAACCACCCTACCCCAGGACAATTACCCCGCTAAGGAAAACCACCCCGAGGACAATTACCCCAGGAAAATTACCACCTAGGACAATTACCCTGTGCACATTAGCCTCCCCCACCCCTGAAACTTGTACCCCTAGGACAATTACCCCCCCCCCAGGACAACAAAGGACAACCACCCCGAGGACATCCTCCGAAAATATTATTGTCCCCATGTTCATTAAACGGGAGTCCATCCTGATAAGTTGGCTTTAATAAAAAATCATAAAAATTCAGGGGAGGGGGGAGGTTGTGATTGTCCAAGGGGTAGTTTTCAGGGGGGAGGGGTAATTGTCCTAGGGGATTATTGTCTTAGGGGGTAATTTTTCCGGTGGGTTTATTTCTTGGTGGGGTGGTTGTCCTCGGGGGGGGGGGTGGTAAATGTTTTTCCCGCTGGTAATTATTGGCTGGGTGTCATTGCCTAGGGTGTAATCATCCTATAACGTAAAAGGCTATATCTGTACCGCTTCTGTAATTTTGTTATTCATTATCTGGTACATGTACATATAACATACTGATAATTACAAAAGCCTCTATTTATTATTCAAGGATCGAGTGAAAGATGGGATGGGAGAATCTCAATTCGTAGAATAATCACAGCATTTAAGTTAGGCCTATCTCTGTTAGGCTTCGTTTTTTAAGAGATACGTGAGCACAGTTTTCCCTTCTCTTCATTTTCAGGTTTGACTTTATAACCTATTAACAAAATAGTTTTGCAAGGCCGTATAGGCGGCTGTTCAAATTAATTCTTGTTTTGGGGGAGAAAATATGCATGATTTTATTAATTTTTAAACAACAAGTTTATGATTATTTACCTTGCAATACTTTCCTCACTCAACCGAAAAGTCTTTTTTTTTCTTTGTCAGAAATTTGTCCCGGGGGGGGGGGGGGGACTACCCCTTGCCTCCTTGAAGTACGCTAGTGACTTTAGAGCGTTTTGCCGGACGTTATTGATATACAATGTGACTGAATGCCATCCAAGGACCTAATAAAACGGACCTATATAGTCTACAATATTATCGAAATATTAAATACGAGTGCCATCATGTAAAATATATTTTCTTTTACCTAGGGACTTGGTAACATTATTGAGATGAGAGAAAATGGTGCTAAGGTAGTGAATTCTATAGAATAATATGCTAGATGTACAATTAAAGATAATCTGAAAGTTTGAGTGAAAAAAGACAATATTAATGATAAAAATTGGGAATAACTGATCTGATCGATTCCTTTAATTCTCCCAACTATATTATCCCAAAGGCAATTTAATTACTTTTTAGGTGAATGTAAATTGTCACAAAGCAATGAATTGGCTCTATATACCATTCTAGACATTTTAAAGGTGATAAAGTCTGTTTTATGTCTAATTTTCATGGAAAAACGGTTGGGAAAATTAAAAAATGGTTCGGATAATTTACTGTTAATCACTGTTAGATGGTGTTGCACAGTGACGCCTTCAAAGAAAACCATAAGTATCTTTATGGATCGAGAATTTTCTCAGGATTTTTTGCCTTTTACAGGGTAAGTACAGTAGAAGGTATATCATAAGTAACATTTCGTACAAAAATTACATTTTTTCATTAACCTTCACCCACATGTGAATGCTCCCGATGTAGCCAGTTTCCAGTCTTATGCATTGCTCTTTGTCATACCAAATATGAAGGTCTAATTCTTTGGAGAAATTACTTTGTATGTACAAGTTTGAAAAAGAAGCGAAACTTATCAAAGTTACCCATATTTCATGACAGTAAAATATTTCGTCTATGAATGGACAGGCTTTAAATTGGCAACGGCGATTAGGTGCTTATTGTGAAATGCTTCTTCTTATTTCAGCCCTTACGACAAAGTTGCTGAGTTTAAATGGAGCACAACGCTACAGCTCAAATGTATGATTTAATTCATATCGCCATTTTATATATATCTGACATTTTGAAATATATAAATATAAATAGGATATAATCTTTTAATCATAAGCTATGCATAATTGTTTTTATAATTACATATTAAGATTTAAAAAATATCTAAACATGGACCAAGACTATTACTTTTACTTCGGCCTTATATTACTAGTCCGGAAGTGAAAATGGCTGTCAAAAAAACCCTTTCGCTAGCGGGAAATTTGAGCCGCCTGCTCTGTTCACGGACATCCCAATCAACATGTCTTTCCAGTCTTCTTCTAAGAAACTCAAATGGTTTACAAAACCAAGCAAGAGGGCTTTGCTCGACCGTGGACTCCAAGAGAATTTTGGAAGGAACGAGGGACCGGTTCAATTGCGTAACCATTGATGTTACGTCACAATGTAACTGCGTCGTCTGCTGCAACGATTCACTGTTCAGTCAAGTGCTCGATGGTATTCTTTCCTGCCTTTAACTAGTTTAAGTTTTAAAATCATTCGTTGTATCCCAGTTCAACATTATTTATGATATATATCCATTATCCATAAATTTATAGCGATTTGATACATGTCTATTGTCATTGATTCTAACTCATGAACTCGGTTACATCTGTCGGTTGTTAATTGTCGGTGCAGTGTCTAACTGAAAGGCAAAGTAAAACCCAAGTCGAGACCAAGCAAGAAAGAGTAGACAGAAATAACCATCTGATATGGGCCATTTCTTTAATAAAACTGACATTTGTTGACATTCTATAATCGGAGGTCTAGTGAGCCAGACGTAGTCTCAGTGGAACAACTGACGATATCGAGAGACTGAAACTTTTGGTCTAGACCAAGAGATGAGGAAAATCAAAATGGTGATTTTGATATGAGAGACAAGTCAAATGTTGAGTTGGTATATAGGAAAATGAGAACAAATTCAAATCATTTATATTTCATTCTGTTTTGGCCACTTGTACTTGTGGAGTGTTTTGAGGGGGCCAGGCCAGCACAAGGAGGGGCTAGCATGCAAATGCATGTTCCTTTATTGTGATGCTGCGGTATAATTTATCTGTCTACTCCAATAAGCAAATAAACATGTGGTTCTGTAATTATTTTTGTCCTCATTAATTATACCTAAAATGTACCAAGTACCAAGTACTAAGGTTTTAATTTACTGATCCAAATGGTTACTTTCTTGCCTTTCCATTTCACTTCTATTTCTATCCACTTTCCTTAGTCCTTCTAGGACTTTACACATGGTGTACCGTAAACCTCTTCCGCGAAATGGTTACTTGTTTATTTTACATTTAGCTTTCCACTCTATGCTTCAGGACACTCCTGACCTACATTCATTGTCTGATGTCTGTTACGATCTTGGCTTGTATTGTTCTGTCCCTATTCATTTCTTACCCATTCAACATTACCTGCCATAGCACCACACACACAGACACACATACACCCTTTCTATCTCGTGGCTACTCAACCCAGCTCACTATAGACACATGGCAATCTTTCCTTAGGCTCTCGATTGGTTACTAATGCTTCATGTACAATCTTGTTTTATGGACTGCATGTCAGCCATTTTGGCAGCCATTTTGAAGATGTAGTAAAATATAGTCAGTGCAGCTCAAGTCAACAATCATGTCGGACTAGTTTTGTCTTGTGTGAGTCTTAAAATATTGATAATTTCTAATTGTATTTTACCAAGTTGATGGCTTTGCAAGACCATTACCAGGGTGGTCTACAAACAAAATTCAAACATGTACAATTGGAAACCTGGAAGGAAAATGAACTGAGGTATGCAAAGCACCAAGTCCCTTATGGCCAGGCTCTAGGGCTTACTTAAGGGCGGTAAGGTTCTTAGATGCTCTCTGGGGCAATCTGGCAAATATAGAGCATCTTCTAAGTTGAATCTAACACATTTTATGATTAATATTTCAACAAATTATTTATTTTAGATTGAATATTAAAAACATGTTGCTGATTTACAAACCTGTTCAATCGTAATTAAAACTTGTCACTCTTACATGTTTATACAACTTACGGATCACCCTGACATTACTTAACACTATCTTTAAGTAAAACTTTGGAAAGCTGGCAAAAGTGTATATTTAGAGGTCTATTTTTGTAACTTTATTTCATTCGTTTCTGTCGTTAATGAACACCTGAGGTTCCCCGGCAGGCAAAACTTAATCTTAAGCAGTATATTTTTCTAACTATATTTCATTATTATTTGTCTCCTTATAAACACCCTAGATTCCCTTGCTGGTTGGCGGGATGAGAAACTCAATGCCGTCTGGCTTCACATTCCTATTGCACAAA